GTGGCTATGGCACGGCTACTGCGACTCACGTCGGGAGTTACCATTCGGGAAGCCCAAGGTTTGAAAATAAGAATCTGAGCGGAGCTCTTGGCCTACCCACTCGACGACCGAGTGGACCCAGAGCTATGACACCGTCACGCAGCGAAGATGGTGAGAAGGATGATCGTCGACGTAAGCGCGGTTAGTATATCATGTTTCCTATTTCAACGTCAGCTAAAGCTAACGCCCAATTAGATACCTTCGGCACAGTTGCTAGTCCTTCTAGTGCGTTGAGCCAGGAGTCCGAGACATTTTAGGAAAAATGCTCAGGATTACTTGACATTATTACGCCTTCGTCGCCGTTTAATGTTGATTTCAAGAATTTAAAATAACGACACCACACCTCTACATACGTGGTAGCAAATCTTCGACTTTACATATATTAATTATTTTACCTTTGTTTTTACCGGTCCCGCAATAGACGCTCACTATATTTGCGCCCTTCAGGCCCGGGAAACATGAATGCGGTCGAAATGTTTATCAACCTACTTAGAGCCTTAAATGTGCTCGGGGACCTCTTAGGTCCCACCATCACACTTAAAGCGCCTTGACTAATTGAGGCGGTAGAGAATGTGCTCTCGCCAGCCACTATACCCATGCTTCAAGCAATTAAGCATCAGGCTCATATGAAAAGGGAAGGGTTTTTTCGTATTCCATCGTATTTCGCCATCATTTCCGCTCGTCCCTTGTCTATAGAGATGGATTGCCCCAGCCTAGACGGATGAAAATATCAGCGCACCAACATTAAACTACCCATGCAAACAACATGACATATTGTTTCGAAAAGGCAAAAAATAAGGAGCGATAGATAGACCACGGCAGACTTTCGCGAAGACGCAGGGACGTCTTTGCGAATCTCCCCTCTTACGACGATATGACCCGTTGATGGCGATACCGTACTGATTTGAAGAGTTTGACTCTCGGTGGATCGGGGAAATAAGCAGCATCTGGAAATACCTGTTGTATGTTCGGAATGAAAGTGGCGAAGATATAGCCAACGCTGCGTGCGTAACTTGTATAGGTAGCATTAATAATAAGGCTTTTGTTACAGCCTTCTTCATCAATTTTGTCTCAAGTATTATGTGCAATCCCTTTACCCTCAACTATATTCGCAAATGCAGCGTTTCTACACCTTATCACGATGTCCCATTAACTCCGTAGTCCCGACGACCTGATGGTGCACAACCAAGGGCACAACGTCGAAAAAAGATACTAGCTCTCAACACCATGTAGACCAAGACTCCAGAACGATCTCCGGATAACCAACCATACCCACGAAACCAATATTTGCAAGCAAGAAAATTCAAATTTTCGACTAACGGCATTACCATCGCAAACTGAGTAAGAGCTCAGCACACCGCGGGATTTGTTTAGGATATCCTAGCCGCCCTCCTTCAATACGCCACGGATTCTCTCCAACGTCTCTGTCCACGTAACCGAGCCCATAGACATGATCCCTAGGGGTGAGTATGAATAATTTAGTCAACTCGGCGCGCAGCTCGGTTTTTTTTTTTTTTTTTTACAACCCTCGTTCATTCGAACAAGATTGGTGCATTAGGCTAGCATAAAGACCAGAGCAGACGTGTCTCGCGAAAGCGTCGCAACGAAGCCGGTTGCGGCTTACGTTCCTTTGTCATACCCAATGTTAGTTCAACGACGTCTCGTTGTCTCCCGCCGTTGCATTGACCGATCTCACCTGGACCTTGTTCGTGTTTTTTATCTGCGCTCTTTGAGAATAGTCTCTTAGTACTACGATTGTTTTTAGATAGTGCGGACTTGTCTTATGCGTTGTAATCGTAATTTCTTAAATACAGACCTATTTAGTTTCGACCGGATCAATATTGCTTTCTTGACATCGATACAGACTTTACAAAGTGAAAATGGCTGACATGGAACTAATCCCATCTAGTAATGCTCCGGACACATCTCCTCGACTACGTTGGGTGCAGATGGTGGAGGGACCCGTGGAGGGAACCGACGCTAGACCTCCTAGAACCAAGGGAGATACGGCAAGAAGCACCGTAGACTTCGTCGAAAAGCCTAATTTTACCACAAGCCATAGTACCGAGACCACGCTTCAAGAGAGATTAAATACACTGAGCCAGGGCCTATCTTTTCCCGAATTCCCAAAGCCTCCTCAACGTAGTCCTATTTCAAGTTCGAGTTCGAGTTCGAGTTCGAGTTCAAGCCCTGCCTCTGAGTCTCAAGACCCTGACTTAGTTGAGTACTACTTTGAGCGTAAGCGGGAAGACCTACAAAATCTGAGGGCAGAGGCACAGACTACCCGCACGATCTGCTTGGAAGCGAAGGCATTCGCCGAGCGACTGGAATATGAAGTCTTGGAAGCCCCTACGAAGAATATCCCTACGGCCTACGCTGTGGAAAGGCTGTTTTGGTTCGGTAAGTAACTAATGATCTGCGGAGTATTTCCGTTTCTTAGCACGAAGACCTGTGGCTTACCCCGGATTTTTGTAGTACGACGGGCTATAGAACGGGTCCGGTTTACCGAGCAGCTCCAAGGTTATTTTCACCGACCGTACGCCATCAACTCCATACATTCGGAAGTAGCAGAGCGATTGCATTCCTCCAGTGTATGGCACGAGTTCGAAGAGCATTTTGTAGAATATAAGAATATATATACTTTTGCCGATCGGGTCCTCAACAAAGCCTACATAGCTCGAGTTGGGCTCGCCCCGGAGGATGAGTTAGGCGAGGAAGCGCAAGGAAAAGGCGTCAAAGGCGATGGCGGCGACGGTGGTGCCAACGCTGGCGGAAGCAAGCATGTTCCTAAGCCGTCGCCTTCAAAGCCGTCGCCTTCAAAGCCGCACCACGAGCCTCCTTCCAAGGTGCCGAAGAAGCGCAAGCATACAAAGGCGGCGACATCGGCATTGGATGCGGACGGCCAGGAGGTGTTTACCTTGGAAGTCCACAGGGAGCTTAGGTCTTTGAAAAAGCAGAAGAAGCAGAAGGAAACGTCGAAAGAGAAGCAGAAGCAGAAGGAAACGCCGAGAGAGAAGCTGAAGCTGAAGAAGCCGGCTAAGAAAGCCGTAAAGTAAAGTAGGGAAAGAGAGCAGGATCCGGTCACCTTTCAAGGACTCTTGTTGTGCTACCCGATGCCCGCCTTGGGCATTGAGATGGTAAATATCGGAGTCGGCGCAATATCCTGTGAAGATAGATGTGTTTGTTGATGGGTGCGCGTAAGGGGGGGGTTTCCCTACCTTCATGATTTAGTCAGGCTTATCTTTGATTGCAGGAAGGTTTGTCTCTTTACTTGTACTATATGTAGGCGCAATGTTATATACTTAACTATGCATAGCAGCATCGTGATTCTCGTAGCACATTCATGCTAGATTTTCATGGTATAGCGTAAACACATCCAGTGAGGCGTGATAATCACGCAACTACTTGCGGAGGAAAACAAATGGGTTTCAGTGTTAATTGACGTGTCGATAGATTGTTTCAGATATATGATGTATGTTCTAGATGGGTGGCGCCGGGCATGGTGGCTGTCCTCGACTCTATATACAATTGGCTCTGGATGCGCGAGACAGTCTCAATGGATCTCAGTTCAGCGCAAGTACGGTCCCGGTGTCTCACCGAACTACGCGTCTGGGTGTAGCACAAGGTGGTGTTCAGCGCGTTCAGCGCGTTCAGCGCGTGTGAAAATGGGCCACAAGCTGGGTGTTTCCCCTGAGCAATCTTTGCTTTGTGTCCCTTACCTGGCGGACTAGTTCATCCCTCTCAACAGAACAGATCACCTTAATAGGTCCGCCCACCTTGACTCTCTGCTAACTGCATTTCCCGCTGTCCCTTTTCATCCTTCTTCCACCTTCTCATCATTCCTCACTCACCAGCCTTACTCGTTACGATCAATCATCGCGCCATCGCCGCCACGCACGCAGCTAATCGTGCCAGCCCTCAACACCGACATACGACGTTTCGGCTGAAGAACCTGTCTCTTCCAAGCACCAGCGGCCACATCGTCGATTCCACAGGTTGTCCGACTACGTTTTCTCTGCCCGGGCCATTATTTCACTATGTCCTCTACCCTCGCGGTACTGGCAGACCTTGGCGAGCTTTCAAAACTGCCGCTAGAACTCATGTTCATGGTGATGGCATACTTCGACGTTCCCACCGCCGCCAGGTTCACTCAGGTCAATCGACAAGCACGGTTTCTCCTCTGGTCCGATAAAGACTACCGGCTAGTTCAAGATGGCCTGTTTTCGGAGCTACGCAAAGGCGCTGATTCTTTCAAGATCGGCCACGTCCCCCTCGAGCATGTCAGCTACCAGACTCTAGCACATACAATATCAGTTGAGAAGTGCACCACATGCGGTCTTAGCTCCTGTGGTGGATACCTAGATTTGTCCATGGGCCATGCTTACTGCGGGGGTTGTCTCTCAGGGGACATGCGGCCTCGCTGTGTCTGGATGGTATGGATTAAACTTCAATTAAATATAACGAAATTTATACAGGAATTGCTACAGATATGTAAAGAATCGCCACAAACATTTATCTCAGGTGCTTTAGACTAGAAACATAAAACAGCGGGCTGCGCTTGCTGCAAGCTATACCTTATGTCATGACTAGACTACTTAGGTACCTATACACATATCACAGGCTTACATATATATATGGGACACCTCTCCCATGTATACTCCATGGGGATTTTTCCCCTTTTTCAAGCTTTAATCTTGTTAAATACTTACTATAAATAGTAAGGTCTACTATGGGTAGTGAGGCAATTGAGCATATAAAGTGTGATGTAGAGCAAACATGAACGACAGATTGTGTTTTAGTGAACAACGCCTCCACATGGAAACTTATTCTCCATCCCTGCGGGCTTGTGGTTTAGTGGTATAATACTCCCTTAGCATGGGAGTGGTCCGGGGTTCGATTCCCCGCGAGTCCATCGTTGGAGGTTCAATTCCTCCTGTTAATACCAACATCTCTATATTTCCGGGAGTTTGGCCGAGTGGTTAAGGCGCTGTGTTTAGGTATAGGAAAACCAACTTTGAACTGGTTCATACCATAGACCCGCAGTGGGAAACCGCGCAGGTTCGAATCCTGCAGCTCTCAAGGATTGTTTACTTTTTTCCTCTTTAGAGAGACGAGTTCTAACCCCTTGGCCTGGTTGGTCCTGCACTCGGTCGGCACTATCCTTTTGAGGAGGTAAGGTACCTGGTAATGTGTGGAAATAGCTAGTTGTTCATGCTTCTGGACTGCAGCACTTCGCCAGCATGGCCTTACTGCATGCATTATAAAACCTTGTATTGAAATGGGACGAGGATACCTTGAGGGTCAACACCAATACCTAGGCTATATCCCACTCTCCTAAGTACACCTGAGTAATTATTGTATAAGAGTCGAGAGGTTAAAATAACTAGCCACTCTGCTTCACTATGGCGTGCTTGCCCTCGTGTGAAGAAGTTGGAATGCAGTAGGATATGCTGAGATTGATAGACTTAGGACGAGGTCATAACATCCGAAGGTTGCTCGCAGCTACGAATGGTTGATCGAGCAGATACTTGAACAGGAGAAAACCCTTTTTCAATTTCTGCCCTGTACACAAGCGCTAGTCAGGGGTACGAGTCGAGACTGCAATGCTCCTGAACACCAAAACTTTGACAGAACCTTGAGTCAAATTCCCCGCCATATGGTCTTGACGTCTAGAAAGTTTAGACGACTAGTGTCGATGATTCTTAGCGGAGTTTAACCCTTGTTGTACTTCAAGCTACCAAATGTGCTCTTCCTCTGAAGGCTGTCTGATGCTGTCATGGATTATAACACCCGATTTACTTTGCGAAGCATCAAGGCATCAAGGAAATGTCTTCAGTCCAACCTTGCTGGCCTTTCTGTCATCTATTGAGCTCTGGGGCAGGGGAAACTTCAGTCGGGCAGGATCAAAAGCCTACTAAAATGAAGCTCCTGTATTTACGTATTGTTGACGTGAAACATGTCATGCATGTTGGGTAAAGAGTATGAGAATTCCTTGAACTGATGCCTCGTATCCAAGTCTACGGCTCAGTAAGAACATCGGTTGCTAGTGGTCGTGAGACCAACAAGGTGAAATGAACGCCCATGTTCAACGTATTCTTTCCTTCCACCACGGCGATAGTCGGAACCGAGGCACAGTGAGAAACCTGTATAAAGAGCTTCGATCATATCTGATTGTACCAATTTTTTTCATCAGTCTTTAAGGCCTCGCTATCAACCCCTTAAGCTTTCTCTCCTATCCAAACAACTACTACAGCACTACATCACTCATCAAGATGGTTTCCTACGGCTCTCGTTCCCAGACCCCCACCAACGGGCCAGTTTCCGGGTCCATTGACCCGTATGTACTCTTTGAGGCACTCACGGGTAGGAAATTGGAACGAAAATCTCTGCCTTCTCGACCTGCCGCCGAGGGGTACGACGATCTAAGCGACATCCGAGCATGCCGTCTGGGAAAGCGGGACGAGCGGGAGGGGCCGGACCCAGATCCTCAGCCCGAAGATATCTCTGTCGGGTGCATCAATCCATTTGCTCTCGCTGAGAATATGATTGGCCATCAAGTTGATCGACGATCCCTCACCGCGATCCGAATCATTCAGGATACTCTCCAGACCGACTACGAGGAGCTCTTTGATATGAAGCATGACTCGGTCCTCTACGCCGGTCTCAAGCTGAACGAGCAAGATCGCAGAGCCGAGAGACTCGAAGAAGACGAAACAAAAGTCTTAAAGGAAAAGGATCTGGTTACCCCAGACCTCACTCGCCTTGATAAGCTCGGGGACCTCGAGAGAATTGGTATGGACGAGATCGACAATCTCCGCATCAAACGAGCCAGCATCCTGAACAACAAGCTCCACCTCATCCTGCACGCCGGTAGAATCGCCCGAACTGTGTGCAACCGGGAGGTGACGCAGACAATCAACGATTTCTGTCTGCCATTCCGACGTGACGATAGACAGAGGGAGTCGTTCACGCCCCCTAACAGCTCGTGGCGCGATGCCCGTGATGTCCTTATGATGCGTAACGTGAGACGAGGCAGGATCTCTGATTATAACACCCTCTTCGACTACGGCGGCGGATCCCGTGAGTTCTTCGCCATGCGCAAGTTCGACGATCCGATCCAGGGCGCCACGGGAAACAGCTGGTTCGTCGCCGCGCTGTTCTCCGTCTACTGGGCGGACCCTGCGATGATCAACCGTCACACGATCATGCAGAACCCGATGCACGGTGGCCCCAACCGTGACGAGGACCGTCAGCAGCACCGCTTCATGGTCAAGTTCCACGACAAGGGTGGACGGAACAACAACAAGACGCAGGTCAGTACTCCCGTCTCTTATCCCCTTTCTGATATATCCCTAGGGCACAAATTGCCTAATCGGCGGTCTTCTACCGTAACCTCCCGAAAGTCTTGGACATTTTTCATCGCTAATGGTACTTACTGACCCTAAATCTTCAATAGACCGTCGAAGTCGACTACCGTGTCCCCGTGAACAACTCCAGCGAGGACTTCGTGTACTGCCGCTCGAGCGACGGGCTAGCAATCTGGCCGTCGCTGTACGAGAAGGCGTTCGCGAAGTGGATCGGAGAGGGCAACAACGACGAGGACCGCAACCGAAAGAGCGCCAGCAGAGGCATCAGCAGCGGGGACCGAGAGTTCGTGGACATCACCGAGACGTACCAGGGCGACCCGGTCAAGGCGATGGCGCAGATCAACGGCCGCGACCCGGAGTACTACCTGACGGAGAAGCACGAGGCGCGCGACCTCGTGGGGCTGGTGCGCATGTGCAGCGTCAACCAGCGCACCATCTGCCCCATGGTGGCGTGGACGTACGCCTCGGACCGCGGCCACTACCGCGGCTGCAACCTCGTGGCCAACCACGCCTACTCGGTGCTCGGGTGGTCGTCCGTCGGCCAGGGCGACAAGCAGTACATCATCATCCGCAACCCCTGGGGCGTCACCGAGCCCCAGGGCCTCACCAGCTACGCCGGCGTCCTCACCCGCGTCGAGCCCGAGTACTGGCGTCCCGCGTCCCTCCTCGACCGCGAGGGCGTCATGGCCGTCGAGGTCGGCGCCTTCAAGGACTACTTTGCCTGCATGGGCGTTACCAAATAGATGTCTGGTGAAAGGGGACTGAATTGATTGATTGATTGTCTGACCGACTGACTAGGGACTATGCTTAGGCAGATGTTCACGCGGAGAGTAATTGAAGCTTGGATTGTTGTATGGTATTGTCGAAATTTTCTTTCAATGTGATCGATTAGGGTTTCTTACGTCTTGTCTTTTGGGCGAGTCTTATATCTAGCCAATGTCCCTGGAAATCGAAGGGCACTGGTAGATGAAGGAGGGGCTGTTGGAGAAGTTGAGGAGAGGAGGGAAGTAGGTAGTAAAATAAGTACATGGGTTTAATATTTCCCTAGCTATAGAGATCTGCACAAATTCCCTTATCTATTCTACTGTATAACGAACAATGTCATGACACTGTAGCAACCTTTAAGCGAAAAGGTGTGCCTATGACATCAAATTCGAAAAGAAACTTGGTCCCAATGAGTATTGACTTACGACCTTCGCATTACCGATAGGTACTACAACGTTGTTATAATATTATATAGGGTCCGTCATTAGGGGCGGGTGATGTTTTGTAGTGTCGGAACTAAGTCTCATAAGTATGATTTGTAGGCTTAGTAAGTGGGTTTATGTTTAAGAGATCTTAAGTTCTTTTATTACATATAATAACTTTTTAATTTGTTATAGTTGCAGACTTTTAATTGGCAAGAGATGCTATGAATTCAACATGCAAGGTGCTATGGTGTTGGTGCTCTCACATATAAACGCTATGAGACTAGTTAGTTATTTGTCCTGTTGTTCGGCCATAATTGGTTCGAAGACTCATATCGGCGCATGAAGTGTAGATTTGGCAATGGCCGATAGACTCCGGCAGATGATATCGGCACAGCCACCGAGTTAGTTAGGGTCCATCTGCATCGGAGCGGGCTGCGGTGCCTTGTTCCATGCCGCGGAAGGTTGCTCAATTTTGTTGCGTTCCGTCGCACACACATATCAGCCTCGTGGAGGTAGACACAAGCAAAACCTCACGCCTTCAAGATATTATCAGCTATCGCTACTACGCGCCTGGTATTTGTCAAGTGCTTTCGATATTGCAAGGAGGCCGGGCGCTATCCAATGTTACAGCTATGTTGCATGCGACGTCATTTGCATCAATATTTTATGCTAGGTCACAGATATTAGCTGAATCACTCAAAATTATGATGCTCTCATGATTTCGGCCGTCCCGAGGCTGTCCATTAGCGCTAACTAGTCTCACTATATGCGTATTTTGTTCCCCATACGTAGTAAGTTAAGTAGGAACAGACACGTCATGTGAGACGTTAGATCTATATTACATTTTACACATTACGATGTGGCGTTATGAGTCGGCTGAGAAGAATAACAGTACTGACTGATGTAAGAATTGTCTCTTCAGTGTGCGACATCGGAAGTAGGTATAGCAGGCTGTAATACTATGGCAGTGCAGTGTATGTGGCGGCTGGAGTCGGCTCACTTACGCAGTAATCTATTCTATACTAACGTTAGTACAATAGCCTCTATTCGGAGATCGCCTCCCTTCAGCTGTTGACGCGAAGCATCTTCTGTTCGCATAATTTCGGTATTTCTGTCGCTCATTCATTGAATCTCGCCTCTGAGCCATGTGCAAACAAAACATACGCAGTGCGTAGTATCGGATAAAAATAATACTATGGTGTAGCGAACCTTGATGGCTGTAGGTGATGAGATATACCGGTAGAGTTGCTCACATTCCCCTACATAGAGCGGAGAAATGCTCTCGGCTCAATCATCCGCGCGAACACTTTGACAGAGGTGGTTTCGTCCATGGTTCGCCAATTGTGACGGAATATAACTCGCCTCCAGCACAATGGATGATGTGACCGAGAATGATCCTACGCATAGATGGCGAGACACGATTTGTCACGGCGAATTGCCCATAACATGCGATATTACCCAAGTTACCAGGTACAAGGTATTTGTGTCTGTACCTGAGCCATGTTGCATCGATCTCATCATT